TCCATAATTATAGTCAACAATTTCAATACCCCTTCTCAATAACTGGTAGAACAACAGACAGAAAATCAGCAAGGATATAGAAGACTTGAACACTACCAACCAACGTATAGACCTCTCTACCCAACCATAGCAGATCATACATTCTTTTCAAAAACAGACATTTGCTAAGATAGACCACACTCTGGGCCATAAAAACAAGTCTCAATAAATATATAAAGGATTCACATCATGCAAAATAAATTCTCTGACCATGGTAGAATTAAACTAGAAATCAGTAACACAAATAAATACCTGGAAACACAACCAAACCCTACACCTCTAGCTCTGTCTGGCACAGTGCTTTGTACAACACACTGGGACTTACTTAGTTACCCCTAGAATTTATCTAGTCTCATCTCTTCATTATCCACTTGAGGAAACTGAGGTTGACAGAGGAGACATGACTTCTTCAAGGTCTCTCAGGCACTCAAGTAACTTTTTTCTGGGAATAGTGGCTACCACTGGAAGGAGCAGAGCTGAGCTCCCCTCATCTGTTAAGGCCTCGTGAGCTTCCCTTGGGCCCACTGGTCCCTCCCCTCCTCTGAGCAACCTAGGACTTTGCACCTTCCTTAATCACACACTGCCTTGCTGCAGTGATCTACTAAGCTACCTTTCTGTCTCCCTGACTGTGCCAAAGCTCCCCCCCGTGGCAAGGATCATGTCTTTTTCACTGTAGCCTCTCAGGAAATATTTAATGAGTGAATAGATGGTTTGTTTGAAAAAACAACAACACCACACAATTTTGCCTCCCAGGAATGCAAATCCTTCCAACCTATGACAGTTACATCGGGGTATGGAGTAGAGTGGGATCAGCAGTGGCGCTGCTGAGCTCAGGGCATCATCGAAGCATTTGGAATTTTCTGCTGCCGGTTGTAAAGGGCTTTCTGTGGCTTTGCAGTTGCTTCATGTACTGCAGCTCTTGCTTCTTGCATTTTCTATTCTGGATGCCCCAGACCACCGCCTGCCCCTTTTCAGCTCTTCTTTCATCCTGAGATGGGCAGAATTTAAAAGAAAAAAAAAAAAACTTCTATTTTTCCCTGTTGTTATTCCAGAGGTTCTTATCAAGCATACATTTTTGCCCTCGGATTTTATATCCATATTTAAATCATGCTTGGGGAAGCCATTTATTGGATTCCTCAGGCTCATGGTAGACAGCATATGAGAGCCTTGATAAGCTTAATATATTTGCATTAAAAATACGAAAGCTATATTGTTTTCAAAGTTAAATCATAATTTGATTTAATTCATTTTATTTAATATATGACCATAATTCTAAAGTTACTTTAAAAATAAAAATCTCTGATGAGATTGAAATCAGTTCTGGGACCCTTTCATTCCTGCGTGAACCACATGCCTGCCATGTGGCAGACAATCTATGCTGCCATTTCCTGGGTCACATTTAGCGTCTATACGTGGGCGCAGCACCCCCCTTGGAGGCTTCAAATGAGTCCTCTGTGAAAGATTCTGTGCAGGCTCTTTTTAAATGCTACCATTAAAAAAATAAAATTTAATGGAAAGAGATAAGCTTTTCTCAATACAAGCCGACTCCGATTTTATATTTCCTTAATCTAGTTTATATGCTGCCACAGGAAATTAAACCAAAATTGTCTTCTCTGATGGGTGCATGTGGGGCAGTTGGGAGGGGCAGCAAGAAGGGAGACACAGAGCTACAGAAAACGGTTTCTCCAGTTTGTCAGAGATTTACTGTAACTTTATTTTAGGGGGAAAAAGCCCTCCTCCTCTTTCCATGGGGCGGACGGGTTATGGCTTCCACGGAGACCAAGCCTGGGGCCGGGACCACACAGGGCTCTCCTTGCATCGCTGGGAACTTGTTGCCTCGGCTCACCTGTAGACACAGGTGACGTCCAGGGCAAGGATGTCCATCACAAGGCCTAAGTTCCAGCTTCCTGTACACCCACTATGTCACATCACACACACAAACACAATAATCACTTGCCATGGGGCTGGAGGGGGGGACCATTGCCAGTACGTGGATTCCACCTCATGGTGATCCCACGTTTCAGAACAGAACTGTGCTCCATAAGGTTTTCAGTGGCTGTCATCTTACGGAAGTACATCATCAGGGCCTCTTCTGAGGCTGGGTGGATTCAAACTGCCAACCTTTCAGTTAGCAGCTGAGCACAAACCATCTGTGGCCCCCAGGATGCATATTTTGCACAATACTGACTCTTACTTCTTCCTTCTTTCTGTCCTTTTCTCTTCTCCCCCGTCCTATCACTCAGAGAAAATTGTTTATTTGTTAATTAATCATATCTGTATTTATTTTTAAAGGAGCCCTGATGGCGTAGTGGTTAAAGTACTTGGCTGCTAACTGAAAGGTCGGTGGTTTGAACCCACCAGCCGCTCCATGGGAGAAAGGTGTGGCAATCTGCTTCCGTAAAGATTTACAGCCTTGGAAACCCTATGGGGCAGTTCTACTCTGTCTTACAGGGTTGCTATGAGTCGGAATCTACTCGATGGCAGGGGGTTTAGTTTTTGGTTTGTATTTATTTTTACCTTCTGGAAAAACGATGTGGGGTTTTTTGGTCAGTCTCTTTAAATTGGTCCTCTGCCCCCGGCCATACCCATTTCCTCTCTGCTTCTAGCCACCCTTGTGGACAAGATCCTCTAATCTTAGTATCTCAAATCCCATACACATACACCTGGAGGTCACCCTGTTACTGTCTTTCCTTCTTCAACAAATAAGAGAACTCAGTACACGGCCAGCAGCATTCTAACTAGGAAGTCTCCTGTGAATGAAATCACAGAGAAGCACAGATCATTCTCCACATGAGGAACCTGGAGAAAGATAGCCAGGAGGACAAAAAAGCAGCTGGTCCGGGAGTGCTCCTGAGAAACAGGCCCAGGCCAGTCACAGACGGTCTCTCTAACCTTGCAGGTCAGGCCTGACCTTTTCCTGGACTAACTACTTGTTAACGGGCAGCGGAGGGTTGTTTCTCTTTCCTCAAGGAGCTCTTCAGTAAGTGCTTCTGGCTGATTCATCTTCCTTTGCCAGATCACAAGCAAGTCTGCCCCTCTGATGAGCAGAAGGGAAGAGAACATCTAAGACTGCTTTCAGATAAGAGAATACCTCATGAAGGACGTGGAGCCTCTCTCTGAGCCCAGACACACCCTCTCCTTCTAGTCCTGCTCTTATGCAGTCTCTAAAATCTCTGTGGCTTTACAGATGTTCATACCCAAGAATCCCACCTCTAAGAATTTATCTTAAGCAGATATTCAGCAAAGGCAAAAAGTGACAGGCTAGAAGATCTATATTACATCATAACAAAAAAATGGAAGTGATCTAAATTTCCAAGAGTAGTTTAGTAAATAAAATCAAACCCTTTGCCACTGAGTGTATTCCAATTCCTAGAACCCCATGCGTGTCACAGTAGAACTGTGCTCCACAGGGTTTTCAATGACTGATTTTTTGGAAGTGGATCACCAGGCCTTTCTTCCAAGGTGCCTGTTTGTGGACTTGAACCTCCAGCCTTTCAGTTAGCAGCTGAGTGCATTAACCATTTGTACCACCCAGAGACTCCAGTTTAGTAAATAATAGTATATAAGCATGGTGGAATTAATTGTATCATTAAATACTAATTAATCTAGCTATACATTAACAATGAATCATGAATAGCTGCTGTTATTTGATGAGCGCTTCCTGGAGCCTAGGCCTCACTTCCAGAGAGTAGGTTTCAACTGATGGGTGTGGGGTCTGGGCATTGGTGTTTCTTTTGAAGCTTCCTAGTTGATACTCACGTACAGCCAGAGCTGAGGAGCACTGTACTGTGTGCTAGATAGGTTGCTGGGTGCTGACAGGCATCATAGCACCATCTTTACACATCTCCTGAGGGCACGTGCACCCTGAACACGGGATCTGGTGCCCCATCAATAACCCCCCCCTCCAGTTAGGTAGTGTAGGATGACACTGTTTATCTCTGTTTACTGCAAAACTGTTTTTAGGGCATTCTGGTTATTTGTTGCTGCATAATAAACTATCCCAAAACTGAGTAAACAACAACCATTTTATTATGTGCACAGATTCTGTGATTCAGAATTCTCGCAGAGCGCCATAGTGATGCCTTGCCTCTCTTCCACAATGTCTGGGATTTCAGCTGGCAACACTAGAATCCAGCTGCCTTCTGACTTGGGGCTGGAATTATCTGGAGATTTCTTTACACACGTATTTGGTGCCTGGGCTAGGATGACTTAAAAGATAGGCTCAGCTAAGGCTATCGACCAGAGCACCACACGTGGCCTCTCCACGTAGCCTGGGCTTCCTCACAGCATGGAGGCTTATGGTTCCAGGAACAAATGTACTAGTAAACAAGGCAGAGGCTGTGTGGCCCTTTGGACCTAATCCCGGAAGTCAATAGCATCACTTCCATTGCACTCTATTGTTGAAGTAGTCACAAGCCCATCCAGATTCAGAAATAGTTTAGTGATAGAATTGACAAGATTTAGTGATAGATTAGACATGGGGAGTGAAGGAGGGGATTGTAAAATGCTGAAGCTGTAATGCCATATGATATTAATAGAATAAGAACTATATGTACATGATAATCACAATGCATATAAATGAGAAGTGAATGCAGCATGCAAAAATGAACATTTTTGAGATGGTACAACATGCTATTTCATAATATGGTGTATTGCTTAATAACTTCAACAACTTTTGTTAAACCTCGGTAACTACCCAAGCCCGTGTACTAACATCCCTGCAGACCATTGCTGGTCACTGGGCCCCAGCGTGACTCCAGTATGTAGTGAGACTGCTTTCCTACACCACATTCCAAAATCATCCTTCTCACTCCAAATCTGGCTCAGAGAACCACAGAGCTGGGAGCCCAGTTAGAGACCTGTAGGGTTCACCAGGCCATTAGCATCACAGTGAAAAGATGGGAGCAGGCAGGGGCCCATCTACCTTGGGATCTAATCTGTCTTCTTTCCTTTTCATTTAGGCTTTTGATATTATGAGAGTGACACATGGTAGAGAGCACAGCCTGATGGAAGATTTGATTCTTCTCTTAGAAGAATGTGATGCCAACATCAGAGCATCCTAGGGGAGCCTGGTCAGAGGGCAAGTCGGCTTTCCCTTGTACTGAATGCCTTCCGGGGCACACACCTCAGACTTTGTTTGCTGTGTGAGCCTCCCCTGTTGGAAATGTCATTCTGCATCTGTGGAGGTATCTAAAGGCAGACACGTGGTTTGCGAACCACAAGAATCATTAGTTGTAGGGAAGCACAATTATAATAAACACAAAAAAAACTGATTGAAAATGCTATCATCTGGTAATTGTTTTCTTTGCTTATTCATTAGTGGTTTTTAACATTTAAGATCTCAATGTGCAAGACAGAAAACCCTATTAAAAGCATGCTAGTATAATTTATAACTTTCTCTTCAGATACATGTAGGGATAACTGGGTAAAAATCAGTATTTTCACATTTGCTTCCAAGCAAATCTTAATGTCCATTTTGGCAAGAAGCAGAATCTTCAGACTTTGCCTGCTGTTTGTGGGAAATGGTGTGTGTGTGCATTTTTCGCCTCCAAATACATCTCCAAGACAAGTTTTACCCTAAATCCTAAAAAGCGGTCATTTAACATGTCATTGGGCTTGTTGTTGTTAGTTTCCGTTGAGTCGGCTCTGACTCGTGACAACCCATGTACACCAGAACGAGATGTTGCCCAGTCCTCTGCCACCTTCACGATCACTGGTATGCTCGAGGCTACTGTTGAGGCCACTGTGTATTCTGAGTGCCTTCCAACATAGGGGGCTCACTTTCAGCACTGTATTGGACAATGTTCTGTGGTGATTCAGAGGATTTTCACTGGCTAATTTTCAGAAGCAGATCGCCAGGCGTGTCTTCCTAGTCTGTCTTAGTCTGGAAGCTCCACTGAAACCTGTCCACCATGGTGACCCTGCGGGTATTTGAATTACTGGTGGCATAGCTTCCAGCATCATAGCAACACGCAAGCCCCCACAGTTCCACAAACTGACAGATGGGTGGTGGTAGACTAGGATGGGAAGCCTTTAAGCAAACAAAAGTTTTTCAAATGTCTTACAGCTCTTTGTGTAAATGTTTCATTATGAGCATTTTATAACCCTTGATGTATGTCATTCTTTTTCATTCCTAAAATCTTTTTTCCTGAGATTTCCCAAGTCTATGGCTCGACCATGCAAATGTGCACAGCACAAAGCTCCGTTAGCCTGCACTCAGCAGCGTTCTAGTATCCCAGCTCAAATCAGCCTTGCTTTCCTTTCCTCTTTACTATTTCCCAATATTGTGGTCTGCTTTCCCACCTCTGTGCTTTAGGCAAAATAAAGAAAACCTTTTCTCTTTGTCTGCTAAAAAGCAGTAGATTGTATGACTCCATGACCCTGGGGGCAGCATATACCCTCCTGCATAGACTTAGGTCATAACCGAGGCCCTTGCAGCCCTCAAGCTGAAAGGTTCCTAGAGAGCATCCAGGCATCCTCCTCATTTTACAGCTAAGGAAACAGGGGCAGGGAGTGACTTGGAATCCAGGGAGCAACCCTGTCCCCTCACTCCTTTCGGGAGCCCTGCCCCCACCCCTTGCAAGGTGGTGCATCCTCCAACCACTGGGTTGCACCGCGGCAGCAGCCGCCAGCAGAATGACACATGGAAGTCTGATTAAGCCCGAAGGAACCAACCTTCTTTGGCAGCAAAGAAAGCTGGAGACTGCTTGTTTTCAAAAACACGGTAATCACTTTGATCCTTAAACATGCACCGTATCCTGTAGGGTGGTGAGGTCTGCAGACTTTTCATCAACTTGCCTCTGCTCAAGCAACATCTATCAAGTATCAAGCACAACTCAAAGCACACACACTCTCTAATGATCACAACAGCACAACAAGGTAGATATCATAAAGCCCATTTTATAAGTGAGAAAACTGAGCTTGGGGTATTAGGTCACGTACTCTGGAATCCCTCCTGATTCACTAAGTGACCTTTGAGCAAGGGGCTTGAGCTCAGTGTTTTTGAGAGACAAGTTCTATCCAATTCAACAAATATGTATTGAATAGTGGTTGTTGTTTGTTGTTGAGTCGATTCCGACTCATAGTGACCCCGTGTGACAGAGTAGAGCTGCCCCATAGGGTTTCCCAGGCTGTAATCTTTACAGAACAGATTGCCAGGGCTTTTCTCCCACAGAGTAGCTGGTCGGTTCAAACCACTGACATTTCGGTTAGTAGCCGAGCACTTAACCACTGGGCCAACGAGGCTTCTTATGTTGAATGATTACTGTTTTTATGAAAAGGATATACAGAGTGAGTAAGACATGCTCCCTGCTCTCAGAATGCACACTCTCTAGTACAGTATTTGCATATGTTAGCTTTTACTCCATAACAAAATACCCCAAAGCTCAATGGCTCCAAAATAGCCATTTATTTAGCTCATGATTTTGTAGGTCAGCAGTTCGGGCTGGGCAATGCTCCTGGTTTGGCCCAGGCTTACTGATCTCAGCTGGGCTCACTCACTGTCTGCAGTCTGCTGGTAGGGCAGCTGGGGAAATAGAGGCAACTGGGCCGTGGAGCTCATCTGGCTAGTCCAGGCTTGTTCACGTGACAGGACCCTAGGAACAGGAAGTACACATGCCCCAATGTGCAAGCCCTTTTCATGCCTTTGATGCCTCTGTTGTGTCACAAGACCAGCCCAGACTCAAGGGATGGAGAAAGATTCCACTTCCTGATATGATGTTACCGTTAGTTGCCTCAGGTTGGCTCTGACTATGACGACGCCATGTACAAAAGAACAAAATGTTGCCCAGTCCTATGACATCTTCATGATCATTGGTACGCTCAAGTCCATTGTTGTGGCCACTGTGTATTTTGAGTGCCTTCCAACCTAGGGGGCTCATCTTCCAGCACTGTATTGGACAATATTCTCTTGTGATCCATAGGGTTTTCGTTGGCTGATTTTCAGAAGTAGAATACCAGGTCTTTTTCCCTAGTCTGTCTTAGTCTGGAAGCTTCACCGAAACTTGTCCACCAAGGGTGACCCTGCTGGTATTTAAAAGATCGGTGGCATAGCTTCCAGCATCACAGCAACATGCAAGTCACAACACACTGACAGACGGGTGGTAGCTTTTTGATAGGAGGAGCTACAAAGTCCCATTGCAGGAGTACAGATACAGGGAGGGGGTGAAATTGTGACCATTTATGGAATTCACCATAGTAGTCAACTTTCTGGGGATTACAGAACACTTAAGGAATTTAATAAAAGCCATCAATCTTTCTAGAAAAACATACACATATAAACAATTTGATTTTAGGGTCAGGGATTCTTAGACTCCTTGAGGTCTTTTGTTTAATGAAAAATAGACTTGCTACCTTTCAAAAATACTGGGTGGAAATTCTTCATTTATCAACTCTTCATTTTAAATTAATTAAAGGGAAAAAAACATAACAGAGTGTAGGGGCAGTAACTTAAATGCCAAATGAACAGAGTTCACGGAAAGAACCCCATGTTTGACAATTTTCTGAATGGAATTTATCAGTCAGCAAAGATCCTGGATTAAGAGATTTACTTTCACGCCTCCTAGAGAAAGCATGATAGGCTTTTAAATCCCTCTCAGCCTGCCTCCAGATTTTTAAGAAGGCCCTGCTTACGCCAAATTTTAATAGAAAGCAAATATTTAAGCAGAGGTAAACATTTACCAACAATTTTACAGCAAAATAATTTTGGAGAAGGGGGAAGGGCAGGGAGACCATGATTTAAAATCTGTGTCACCAGTCACTGACGATTTATTGCTGCCCCAGCCTCCATGACTGCTCGTTCATTAATCCATAGTCACATAACGGCAGGCTTTTTCCCATCAGTAACTTGATGCCATTAGTTGCTCCTCTGGGATGAGAACATATTCAAACTGAAAATGAACACACTGGGCATAATTTATGGCCATGCCATATGAGTGCCAAGAGTGCGGGGGAGGTGGGCTGCCCGGGAAGCCTGCTCACTATGGGAGCTCGGGACATGCTTCCTGTAGCCAAGCAAGAATGCTGGGCGGGCAGAGAGGGCGGCCGAACCCTGATCAGGCCAGACAGCCATAAACCCCAGAGGCCCCTCACTCACGCTGCACTGCAGGGATGAGAGAGAAATTCTATATGTGGAGCCCTTCCCCGAGTTAGGCGCTTGAAATGTTCTTTCTAGCCCAATCACAAAGTGATGTTACACTCAGAAGAACCCATTGAGATTCCACCGGGAGAAGATTCTGGGCATTGTCTGTGAAGCATCATGAAATCCTTATGACAAGCAATTATTGGTGGAAGGGCCAGGAAAACACTGGGGCCTCCTTTTCCCTGACATCTGTAGACGGACTGAGATCAAACTGGTCGAGGAGGAAGACCAACACCAACACCCCGCCTCCGCCAAACTGGGATACTCCCGTAACCTTTTTGAGATTTATCAGCTTAAAATATATATATGAATATGTTTACTAATTCATAATTCAAAACATATTCAAAAACCAATTCACTGCCTTTCATATTGTAGTCACCCCCCTCAGCAGTAGGAACGCTCTTCAGCAGAGAAACTCAGTCATTGCCTCCCCTTCTTCTTTATCAAGAAGTCCCTGGGTGGTGCAAACAGTTAACATGCTCAGTTGCTAAAAGAAAGGTTGGAGGTTTGAGTCCACCCAGAGGCACCTCGGAAGAAAGTCCAGGCGATCTACTTCTGAAAAGTCAGCCATTGAAAACCCTACGGAGCACAGTTCTATCTGACACACATGGGGTCACCATGAGTCACAACTGACTTGAAGGCAACTGGTTTGGTTTTGGCTTTATTCATTCTCTGAAATGCTTTTTTAATTTTACCCATTTTTATTTCTTATCCATCCCCCTGCCCCTTTTACAGGCCCCCAGCACCTTATCCCTCAACCACTGCAACACCTTGATCAACTCTACACTGATCTCCTTGCCTGCAGTCCCTCCCTTCCATGTCCTACATCATAGCTGCCAGAGTAATCCTCCAGAAATGCCCATTTCATCATTTCCTTTTGTAACTCCTTAACTCAAAAACTTACAGTGGCTCCCTGTTGTCACTAGACTGAAAGTCCAGTCTTTAGACTAGCAGCCAAGGTCTCAAACTACTGAATCTTATACTTCCTGTTCCCCAGATGAACTTGCCATTCCAGCTAGACTAGCCACCGCCTCCTCTGATCTCCTCAGCTATGCCCTCTTCCTTATCAGCTCCTTATTTTTGTTCATACTGACTAAATTCCCTTTCTCCTCCATCTATCTAAATCCTATCCACCCTTAAGGGTCTAGCCCAAGCTTTCCTCTTCTTCTTCGTCTTTTTTAAGTTTAACTGTGTTATAGTCTGTAACCATAATTATTCTTTTTGATGCTTAAGTTATGTTGACTGTGGCTCCTGGCATCTCCTTCAAATTGGTCCTATGTCCTCTTTTTTTTTTTAATTGTAGTTTAGATGAGGGTTTACAGAACAAATAGTTTCTCATTAAACAGTACACATGTTGTTTTATGACAATGGTTAACAACCCCACAACATGTCAACACTGTCCCTTCTCAACATCGGGTTCCCTATTACCAGCTTTCCTGTCCCTTCCTGCCT